GTCACGTTTAAATGAATGTGACACAATATTCAAACGAATGTGACATGTTTCACATTAAAACGAATGTGACGTCACATTCCTTGAATAACAGTGTAATCGCTCAGCCAAAAACTTTTATGTCAAATAGATCTTTCAGTGGTAGATAACAAACTAGAACAGTTTAACTTGAAGAGAATATCAGGGAGAATATCGCTCCACTCCACACCCTAGTTTTATGAAAAGGGCGGGCCGCCTATCTTGCAAACAACTTTTCAATCGGCAGAAGGGACACTTATAAAATAATCAATATAAAACTACGACCAATTTAACTCAAAAACTACCGGGATAACTGTAACTGTAACTAGTTACAATTTTTGGCGAAAAAAATGTAACTGTAACTGTAACGGCAGTCTTTCAGAAAAAGTAACTGTAACGGAAGCTTGTTACATTTTTGGCAAAAATAACTGCAACTGTAACTGGTTACATTTTTAAAAGTAACTTTCCTATCCCTACCTGCCGGCGGCGATGGTCGGGCCTGCGGCTCGACCATTTCTGTCACGCGATTAGCTGAAGAACATGATCGAATGATGTAGCGGGCCTTCGGCCCGCTTAAACCCGTCGTCTTTGGGTTTGCCCCGTAGACACGAGAAAGGGATGTAGATGTAACGGTGAAGCACCGCGACTACAACCCACCATTCTGCTTACAAGATGCTTTTTGGGGGCGGAAGGGAGGGAGTTCCTTTTCTATTTTGCGCTTTTTAGACTTTTTTCTACTTTTTTCTAAAAGACCCTCTAGCACCTAAACGGTTAAAGATAGAGCCAAGCGGCCCACCGTGGATACCCCCATTCACACCCTTAGGGGTGGTTGCTAGGGTTTGCCGTAGGCGTTTCGTTCTCTAGGAGCACGGTGAAAAATTGTCGTACCGGGTACAGGAAAAATTTTCCATGGAAGAAGTCGTACAAGTACAATCTAAAATTGTACAATATACTAGCCCTATGTGTCGACTTATTGGAATCGAATATCGAGCGACAGTGTGAGGTTGTACATGTACGACTCGTATTGTAAATGGCAAATTACATAATATATCGTACATGTACAAATATATTTCTCACAATGAGTGGACCTTAAGATACCCTGAAAATTTGAAGCCTCTAGCACATTTCCTTCTAGTGGAATAGACAGACGGACAGACCCACAGACAGACAGACACACACGAGGTCGTTTGCATAAGCCCGCTGGATAGCTTGTTGAAAGCAGAAGGGCGGGCTAAAAATGAAAAAGGTTCTGTTTTGGCCATTTCGGTAAGAAAAAATCCATTTTGTAAGGAAACGGTGAAAGCCAAACGGACGACATTCTAACCCAGAGGGTGCGTCTTTCACGATTTATCCCTTTGGAGACCATCAAATATTTTCTTAGGATCATATTTTTTTTGGGCCACTTTTGTGACAATTTTTAGCTTATTTTCGTCAAAAAAGACCCTCTAGCGTGAGCCAGCGCCTAAACGGTGAGAGATAGAGCGAAACGGACGAAATTTTCGCCCAAAGGGCTCTACTTCCACATGTTACCCCGTAGGAGACAATAAATTAAATATTTTATTCCCACTTCTTGGACCAGCCCCTATTTTTTAGCCCGCCTCTTTTAAAAAAGCATTAAAGTGTCCGTGTCCGTCCGCCCGTCCGTCCGTCTGTCTGTCTGTCTGTCTGTCCGTCGTCCGTGTAAGAGGAAGGAGATGAGCTAGAGGTCTGCAAATTGCGATAATTGAGTATTTTAGAGCTGGGAATCTGACTCAATATTTCAATATTGGCTTTTGGGTTCAATATTTAAATATTGAATATTGATTTCGGAATATTGAAAACATCAATATGTAAAAATATTGGTTTCAATATTTAAAAATATTGATATTGAGGTCAATATATTGAAAAACCGCCCAGCCCTAGCTGTGGGGGCCGGTGCTGTGGCTGGTGCGGGCTAAAA